TACCTGTCCTGATGTAGGAACTGGACCCACAGCAGGCTTTCATAAAGAACTGAAGCTGCTGTCTGTCAGAGGTGCGCCAGCATGAACATCTGACATCACAGTCCATTTATTTTTCATAACCAACATCTGCTTGCCTTGCTACATTGTCACTATGATTTGCATCAGTTCCCCAGATTACATGTACGAAACCAGCACATGGAAGGTGACTAGAGTGGTGAGCACTGAGCAGCCCCAATCGGTGCGCTTTGGAATGATGTTTTTACAGGGATGAATGCAGAAATAAGAATTACTTGGAATGCATAAACTGATGGAATGCATTTCACATTCATAAGAGGTGAGGCGACTTTGACGCTGAAGCCTCGCAAATGCCATTACCCAAGAAAAACAAGTAGGCAGAAAAAAAGGCTATCGACGTTGTAATGCTGTTGAGTTTTTGGCCACTGTAATATTCACCACAATATAAAAATGCAAATACTGGTCGCCCATAAAATAATACCCAACTCACCAATGCAGTCAGTTCTTGTTGCAGCATAAAAAAGCTATTTACTTCTCCTCCATATGATTATGAAAACAAATGGATTCATTTCTTCTGCAGAAATGCAGCTGATGCAGAAAAAATTATCCCGTGAAATGACTTACTGACAAGGATCAGTCAATTCCGTTCTGGGAATGACGATCCCACACTCAATTTTTTTCCCCCTCCAACTCTCAAAAAAGGCTTTTGTGTTTACTTATAGTAAAAAAAAAACAGTAAGAAAGAACTTTTAGATTTGCAATGCTCACAAAGTGCTTCAAGTGTGCTTATTTATACGTAGCTCACAATCTTAAATGTTACATAAGCATTTCTACAACAAAGTATTAGGGCCTGACTACTATTATTATTATTATTATTATTATTATTATTATTATTATTATTATTATTATTATTATTATTATTATTATTAGAATAAAGTTATAATCTTACATGATGTTCATTTTTGGCTTGTTTTTGCTGCGTACAGCCTTTAATGTGTGTCACTACCTATGTTTACATAGACATAAGTACTTAGAATAAAAATGAGTCGTGTCAATACCCCAGTCAGAATATTCTGATCAGATTCATCTGAATTAATTTGTAATCTGAATGAGAGGAGTGGTTTATGCTGATTGTTAATCTGAACGTCGTGCATGTAAACATTTATTCTGATCATGTTATTCTGGTTGTAGAAAACTGACCTGGCTACAGATGTGCACCCTATGTCAGGGCTATTCAATTGGTGGCCCGCGGGCCAAATCCAGCCCGCGAGTGACCAAAATGTGGCCCGCCAATTGGTACATTCATCTCTTAAGTCCCAACCCCCGGTTTTCTACTTTAATTACTTTAAGCTCTTTTAGATAGACATAGACATGCTTGGTATCTCAGAAATGTCAGAATCTTGACTAGAAGCTGGTAAAAAAATTCTATGAATATCTAAGACAGGTAAAACTACAAGCAGTTGAAGGTAAAACTATGAAAGTGAAAATAAAATTGGTTTAAAAATTTGGCAGTTCAAATATGTTAAAAATATTTGTGTAAAGTAGGAGGCAGAATGGGTTATTTTTGTTTTTGATATTGTTTTACCATCACTACATTTATTACATAGGGTTCTGTATGTTGTATTCATGATTAAATGCAGCAAAATAAACTAATTCAAAGGTAACAAACCTTTGTAATACTTGGTTTGTTTACAAAATGATTTTAATTGCTGGAAGTTCAGCCCCTGTGTCGTTGTTCTGCATTAACTGTGGCCCCTGGAGCAATTTAGTTGAATAGCCCTGCCCTATGTCAACCTGAAGTATTCCCACCTGGCTAGATGATAATATGGGGAAGGAAAATTGGTCAGTTAGCGATAAAACATTTCTATTAGAAACTTTGAAAGAGCTCAAAATTATTGAACGTGTTGAAGTTTGAAGGTGTAGGAACATGAAGTGCAGTAATGTCTCCACTGTTATTTCAAGCTGGAGCAGGTCCATTCTGGGCACTCAGAAGATAAAAAAACAAAAAACAAAAAACAAAACAAACCATAAAAACGTTTGTTTATGTTGTTGACGGAAGTAGAACTTCTTCTTCTGTTTTTTTTTAGGAAAGGTTGGCAACTCTGCGCTTCTCAGTACTTCTATCAAAGAATTTTGTGCATGTAAACATAGCTACTGTGTTAAGAAGGTAGTCCATGATTACTTATGGGTCACTGTTAGGGTAATACACTTCCATCTGACAACTAAATCCATCAAAGCAACCATTAATGCAATGCCATGCGGCCTCAGTTTATCATATGAATCCATAGAGTTAAATAACACCAATACCATAGAATGACTTCACAAGGTTCACAACATTCCTCATTTTAATGCAATGGTAGGACTGCTTTGTTGTGCAGGAGTTCTTATAATATTAGACGACTTTGTTCTCGTAAAAATCTGTCTTTATTATCCTATTATTTAGACTTTATTCACGTACAACTTTATTCTCTAATATTATGACTTTATTCTCGTCTATTAAAAAAAAGAAATTAAAAAACGCATCGTCTGGCCCTAATACTCCATTGTACATTTCAAACCGTATTATGGATTTTTTCTTCTTTCGGCTGCGTCCATTTCAGGGGTCGCCATTAAGCAAATTTGCACGAGGTCGAGTTCACCAGGTCCTGATGCATGAATAGAGCAGGGGGCTGCCATCTAGGGCACCTGAGAGAGCAGATGTGAGGGTTAAGAGCCTTGCTCAAGGGCCCAGAGTGGTGCAAAAGAAGGTGGGTGCTTCACCTTTCCCGCCCACATTTTAATGGAACATTTTGGGAATCCGAACTGGCGACCTTCTGATCACAGGCTCTCATTCTCTAACCTCTGTGCCAGGCACTCACTCTATTATTGAGAGAAAATGTTCCCATTTATTTGAGCTCCGTTAAAAAAAAAAACACTCAATGTGTTTTCTTCAAGTCTACATAGGCTAAAGAAGAGAACAGGTGGAAGTCCACTGCTCGTGTAAAGGTGCGTTTGTGTGGGTTTCCGAGAGATTTGTGTAAGCTCGCTTTAAATAAAAGATTAACCTGCGTGTCTTCTGCATGTTGCGAGAGCACCTGGCAGAAGTGGGTGCATGAAGGTAGGCGAGCAGGCAGGCAGGCGTACGGGGAAACAAGAAAGACACCCCAGAGGTCGCTTCTCTACCAGCTGAAGTCAGCCAGGGTGACAGACAAAGCTGAAGTGTCTCCGCCTGCCAGCGCCCGCCTGAGCCTCACGCCACCCTGGCGTCATTGGATTTGACAAGAGCGAGTCCGCAGGAAGCGAGAGAGGATGCTGAAGACCTGCCTGTCTCTCATTCCTCCGAGAGGCTCAAGTGCTAACACCTTGTCAGCAGGTTAGTCAGGATTCGAACAGGAAACAGAGGTGCAAACACATGCCAAATATTGTTGGTCTGAAGCGAGTTTGTTCGCGTTTGATACATTAAAGCTGATGCAGAAGCCTTGCCGAGGGCAACCACTCTCTTTCACGGCTAAACATATTTTTCCAAACGCATTTATGAATATATTGTGAATTTATTTAACTTCGGAAAAACCTCTTTTGTACTCCTGATTCGGAGTAGCAGCGTGTGAAGCAAAAACGAGCCTTTTTATTCCCATCAGCATGAATACGTAACTACAGAACACGCTCACTTTGAAATTTCAACAAAGAAAAAAAAAGAAAGCTCCCTAAATCTTAACTCACATAGAAATATTAATAAAAAAAATCTCTAGATCTTCGAATTGGACCTGCTTGCATTCATTTGTAGATATGCATGATGGATGAAGGGGAGCACAGGTGTGCGCTTCAGCTTAGAAAAAACAAAAAAGATCTCTTTAAATTTTCCACCTCCCTTTTCACAAAGCTGGCTTCGTTTGTTAATGATTTGGATGACTGTTAGAGAGCGTGAAGCCTCTTGGCGTTCCCTGCTGGAAGGAACGTGTGCTTTGTTGAGCCTAAAAGTTTGCATGGGAAAATTGCACCCATGGGAGCGCGAAACAGGCAAAACACCACGGTGGGAAGATGGAGGGAGGGCAGGATGTATTTTTAACTTTTTGCATTGATGCAAAGTCATCAGTTAGTCCTTGTGGCAGAGAGGCACCGTAGCGAGCCAGCCGACTTTCTCTACCCTTCCTGGGCTCCGTTTACGGGTTTGAGCAGGTTTACAGCGATTCGACTCGCTTTAAACTCCGAGTATCTGTCAGTTCCTCGCTGCCGCTGCTTGGCAAATCACACTTAAAGAACAAATCAGCTGAAGAGGGAACATGGCGGTAGTGATGATGACAGCGTGTTATTTTTGAACACATCCACCATTATCCCGGTGTGCCTGACTCTCAGGCTCCATTTTGTGACCCATTACAGCACAAGAGGAAGATGGTCCTGAAGAGAAATCACAGCAGAAATATTTGTAGGAGTGAGAGCCAAGAGCTTTGCCATTTCTCTGTCGCAGCCAAACTGTCCTTTCTACCAATCTTTGGTTCAGAAATTAAAATGTATTGATTATGTCACACATTGTGCACCTACGTTATGTTTGTGTGTTGCCGTCCCCCCTGCCTGCTGCTCTTAAATGAGATTAGCAAGACTAGAGTGTCAGTAAGTAGGATCTAAAATGAAAGCCATTATGGAGCATTATCACAAAGCTGCAACCCCCCGTCCCCACTTCCAACCCATCTGCTGCGTGGCCACCCACACAGCCGCTACGCCCAGATTACAGCCGTGATTAGCGCCACAAAGTGCTGCTTCATTTAAACACCTCTGGAGAACATGTGGCACTTTGCTGCACTGCTGAGTCGCCACGCTCGAACGCCCTGAGGGTGAAGATGGAGCTCTGCGTGTTGTAAATAAAAACTGGAACCAGTTGAACTGTTTGGCCTCTGTGCTGGTCTTTTTTTTTTAGTGGTTTTACTTCAGCGAAACGTGTTGATGAACGTAAGCTAATGTCACCTTCCTGTTTGCTTTACATTTCAAAGTAAAAAACTTCCGTCTCCTACCTGTAATCTTATCGCGCACTAGCTTGCAGGACTCGATTTCGCCGATGCTGCCAAACAGGCTGCGGAATTCCTCCTGGGTCATGTTCTGGGGCAGGTAGTTCACGATGAGGTTTGTCTTGCTGTCGTCGTTCGTCGGCCCGGTCTGCATGGGCGAGGGGCAACCGCGGCTGTTCGAGGTCGGCCCGTTAGCTGTGGTGCCTCCGCCGCTGGGGCCATTTGTCACCGGAGCCTCCATGTTACTGATGATCTGAGAGTGGGGAATGAGAAGACAAAAAAAAAAAGAATTGGATGAGAAAAATAATAAGGGACAGATGACAGACTAGCAAAACCTAAAAGTCTTTCAAAACAGCTTAATAAAATAGATTGGATGCCTCAAAAGCAAGCACTAACAGGTATTAAAATTCAACTGGGACGTGTTTTTTTCCAACTAATTGCATCCTATGGAAATTAAATGTAACAAAATCTTTTACAAAAATGTGAATAAATTCCATGGAAGTTTGGGAGCTTTTAACAGATTTGCACCACATAGTTTATCTTCTTAATAGTTGCATAAACAGCTATTATAAAAAAAAAAAAATCTAACATTTTATGTTGCATAGCTGAAATGACAGTTCAAATTCTACTAAACCTTATAAAGTTGTTGTTTTTTACTTTGCTTAGCCTCTTGTTTTACAAATGATCTTGTTGAACAATTTGAGTGGTTTAGTTTAAACTTATCTACCAATAATGTGAGAGTATAAAGTTTAATATAAAGCATGGTTCAATAGTTGGACTGATAATCCTGAACCGTTACATTTTCACCGGCGTTCTTATTTGTTAGCAGGAGATTCTTGAAAGAGTACATGTTCCAAAGTGTGTTCTTTTTTTATTTCAAGATCTTTTTGGATGGAAAGACTTTTTTTTCTATCCAATCAGGTTTAATCCACTTTTAACCATCCCTGCACTCTGACACCAACAGCTGCTTGCATAAATCTGAAACATTTTTGATTTTCAGGCGTAACTGCTGGTTGACATCTGCCT